CATTTGAATGTTGATATGAAGTTAAACTGATCAGGATGTGTTTTATTCTGGCTGACGGGAGAATCCTAAACCATGACCAGCATTTTCTCCATTGTTGTTGCAGAAAGCAGTTTCTCCTCAACCTGTTTCTCAGCCAAGAGTGCCACAGGCTCAACAGCGCCCCTCACCACAGGGTAAGAACTTCACCTTCTAACCAAGAAATATGAAAAATATTGTAGAAAACCAATATTTCTTTAAAGGCAGAAAAAAAAAAACTAAAATCCCACATCATTTTTTCTAGGAGGTCCTCAGCAAAGCCCCCCTTCTCAGCAGCGTCCTTCTCCTCAAGGACAACCCCCTCCACAGGGTCAGCAAGGTGCTAGCCCTCCAGCAGGTGAACCCACGGCCCAGGCTAAAGCTAACCAAGGACCAGCGACTCAAGCGCGGCCACAAGGAGGTACTGCTCCAGGCCCGAGACCCTCTTCTGGACCCGGCTCTCCTCAGCGGAGTCAGGGGGGCTCCCCTCAAGCTCAGAGGCAACACTCTGTAACCCAGCAGCAGCAGAAAACCACTGCTGGGGGGCCTGGCCAGAAACCTGCAGGGGGGGCACCTACGCAGCAAAGGCCAGTCCAGCCACCGAGGCAGCAGTCACAGGGGGGGGGGCCTCAACAACAGAGAGCTTCTGGTCAGCAGGCCCGTCCTGGAGCCCCCACCACCCAGCAACCACGGCCCTCCACCCAAGGCCAAGGTGGGCGACCACCCCTGCAGCAAAAGCCTCCGCCCCCACAGAAACCCAGCCAGGACATTTCTACAACCAGTGGCTCACCACAACTGAAGTAAGTCAAAGTACACAATAAAGTACAATCACTTTAGATTTAATGAAGTTGACAGTTGACCACGTACGAGAAGCCCCTCCCCCGCACCCCCCGCCTGCACTTTGTTCCCAGCATGCCTCTGTCCATTCTCTCTACCGTCAACATGCATGAGGTTTTATTTGATTACTTCACGTTCTCTACATAATCACATTGAAACGGTCAATACAGACGCATCTGAACAACACAGGTGAGAAAGGTGGTCTACAGTGGTCTCCATAGATACAGCTACATACATGCTCATATATCATATACTGCTCCTACATACTGTATCTCTCATATATATTGCTCCTATATATATATCGCTCCTACATATATATCTCATATATATTTCTCCTACATATATATTGCGCCTACATATATATCTCATATATATTTCTCCTACATATATATTGCGCCTACATATATATCTCATATATATTTCTCCTACATATATATTGCGCCTACATATATATCTCATATATATTTCTCCTACATATATATTGCGCCTACATATATATCTCATATATATTTCTCCTACATATACACATATATTTTTTGGACTGATGGCAGTAGGTCACTACAGACAGGCCTTCAACAGACAGAGTCAAATCCAAGTCTTGTCTCCTTCTCTCTCTGCCTTACCATACAAGTCTTTTCATTCCATTGTTTTGCTGCATGACCTTAATAGCCTTTCCTCTCCTCTATCAACGTTCCTTCTCTTTTTAGCAAATCCCAGTCTCTTACCAATACCTTCAACATTCCAGAAACCCCAGCACCACGGGCCAGCCTTAGCCAGGATGAGGTGAAGGCAGAAACCATACGCAACCTGCGTAAATCTTTTGCCAGTCTCTTCTCAGACTGAGATAATGCATCCCTCTCCACCCCCACCCCCACCCCCACTGACAGAAAGATGGACAGGTGAACTGAAGGACAGATCACGTCTTCCCCCGACCAACAAGGACCAACAGGACGTGGCCTCCACTCTGCGTACGTTTGTCCAGTTTGAGATGAAAATGTTTCACATTCACTGCCTCAAAAAGTTGAACAAAAAAGTTACAGGAACTAAATCTGATCTTGAATCTGTCGCAAACATTCCTCCGTTCATATAACACCTCCAGATCTAATATTTTGACAAACTGTGAGATAATACAGTATGTCTGCTCACACACACACACACATACACACACACACACAGACACGCACACACACATGCATGAATGTACACAAACAAACTGCAGCTTCTGCTTCCTTGTTGTTGGTGTTAAATGTTTTCAGTCCAGTTGACAGTGAACTGAATTAAGGGACAGTCACAAAGTTGTTGTTGTGGAGATAAATGTTTGTGTCATTTTTTGTCTTTCTTTAAACCACAAACTAAAATGTCAGGGACAATGTTGAAATACTAAATCATGAGCCAAACAGACAACGCCACAAAAGAATTGAACAGTTCTACCAGTCCTTTCAGACCTGTACCGGTCCTTTCAGACGTGTACCGGTCCTTTCAGACGTGTACCCGTCCTTTCAGATGTGTACCAGTCCTTTCAGACGTGTACCAGTCCTTTCAGACATGTACCAGTCCTTTCAGACATGTACCGATCCTTTCAGACACGTACCGGTCCATTCAGACGTGTACTTTCAGACGTGTACCTGTCCTTTCAGATACGTACCGGTCCTTTCAGACGTGTCCTTTCAGACATGTGTACCGGTCCTTTCAGACATGTGTACCGGTCCTTTCAGAAGCGTACCGGTCCTTTCAGACGTGTACCGGTCCTTTCAGACGTGTACCGGTCCTTTCAGACGTGTACCGGTCCTTTCAGACGTGTACCGGTCCTTTCAGACGTGTACCGGTCCTTTCAGACGTGTACCTGTCCTTTCAGACGTGTACCGGTCCGTTCAGACATGTACCGGTCCTTTCAGACGTGTACCTGTCCTTTTAGTGAGTCATTCAGGACGACAGCCTTCTTCAAAATCATTGGACATAACACAACCTTACCTCAAGGTAAAGTACATGATTATAAATACTTTTACAATAGATAAAAATAGTACCTTGCATATTTATGATAGAAAGAGATAAAAAAAACTCAATCAAATTTTCCACCAAATGTCCATAAGACTCTCTCTGCCATCTGACAACTTTGATACAGTCCCTAAATTCAACACAACTGCCGCTCACACACTGACCCCTGTACTGACCCCTGTACTGGAGGCTCTGGAGATAGAAGCCCCCCCCCCCC